CAGTGAGCATGGCCAGGCGACAGGACACAGTGGAGGCCCCTTCCACCACCAGAAGCTGGACCTCAGCAGGCACAATCCTGAGTCAAGGAGGGGCCTGGAGGAGGACTAGCTGCCCACCCCCTGCAGAAGCTTCTGGGCTCAGCTCAGAGCTGCCAGGAGCAGGTTACACCCACTGCAGCCTGAGCCAGCCAGCCAGCCCTGCTCTGCGGGAAGGGCCCCGCGGGCAGCGCCCTCACCTTGGAGCTGCAGAGGGGGGTCCTGCACCCGCTGCTGCAGGCCTTTCATGGTCTCCACCATCTCCTGGTGGAACTCCTGTATGACCTCCTCCAGCAGGCCTGCATCCTTGAGCCCTCGCCAGAAGGCAAATGTGTCATCTGCGCGGGAAGGAGAGGCTCAAACAGCAAGAAGTCCTGCCCCAGCCCATGGGAGGACACAGCTCTGGAGTCAGCAGTGTTCCCATGGGCTAGGGCAACAGCTCAGAGCTGTCAGGCCAGTGGGCCAGCCCAGCAGGGGACACAGCCTCCAAACATGCATGCCATCCACAGAACAGCTCCCTGTTCTGTCCCGTCCTTCACGGGGCCCGCCCCAGGCCCCACCCAGAAGCCTACAGGAAGGACCCTTACCTCCGATGGTCGTGGTCCAGTCACCGGAGTCCTCACAGGTCTCTATGGTGATGGTAGCAGGAGACCCGTTCACTGCAACCAGGACGGAAGCAGATGAGCCCACCTGCCTGGCTCGAAACGGCCTTCATGCCGACTCACAAATCGGACAAACACATGCCCTGGTGCAGAGCCCCACTGCCTCACACTTGAACTGTACTTGTCACTGTCTAATCGCAGGCTCCTCAGACACAGACAGAGCAGAAAGAGCCGATAGGATCTCACAAGCCCACAACCCACTCCAATCCCTCAACACTAGCTCCAAGGGTCAGCGAGCCTGGGCTGCACAGCGGGATCCTGCCACTCGCTCAGCTGGGTCAGTGCCCTGATTCCTCCCCTCCCGTCTGCTTCACCGACCCCAACATGTATCTCAGTGTCTCTCCATGTGCAGTTTCCAGCCAAAAGAGGTGAAGTTCTGGGAGACACAAGCTGCCACGACCTCGAGGGCCTGTTGCACACGAACATGAAAAAGGGGCAGCAGGCCATTGGTGGCTGCTTCTGATAAAGACCTGGCTTCACAGACACCTGGCTTAAAACAAGCTGGCGGCTGGCTCATGTTCGCACTAGCTTCTCAACCTGCCACGTCCACACCCAGCACAGACATGGTGCTGGGAATGCCACACGTGTGGAGCAAACCTGTTCCTCAGTCAGACAGACAGGTCCCTGAGCTGCACAGGACACTCAGGCTGCACTGCATGGTTAAGTTTAAGTAAAGCAACAGACAGCCCCATCTGAACCATGAAGGGATGAGAGTTCAAAGAGCTGAAGCCTGACTGGATGCGCCTGTGCCAACACGGTGGGCACTAACTGGCACATTCAGAGACTGGTCCTTCCTCAGAGAGCAGTCACCCATGCTGACAGGAGTGGGACAAATGTTGGGTGTGTCCCCTGGGGGTAGGGGGAAGATCTCTGTGGTGGCCCAGCCCTCCGCACTGTCTGGTGGCAGCACCTGGTACTCACATAGACCGCCAGCAGCTTGGCCAGGACTCGGGGTGTGTTTGGATGATGACAGCACCTCACGGCCGCCCAGCCTCCCTCTCCTCCCTCCAGTACAGGCCACGCTTCCTCAAATATCCACCATCTGGTCAGCAAAAGGACAGTCCCTGGCCATATGCAGTGCCCAGAATGACCGCGTGCAGTGATAGAGACAATGCAAGTGCCATCATTGGAAACACCCACAAAATTATCACCAAGCTATCCGAATGGGGAGCTCAGGACCTGGTTCCACTCTTAGATTTCAAAATCTATATTCACAAAGTTGAAATGCATTCAGGGTTATTTGTACCTCTACGCGTGAGCGCCACAGACATCAGCATGAGTGCATCACAAAGGCGCCAGAGCCGGGCCAAGAAGGCACACACAGCCGAGCGCCAAGTGCTGCAGGAGTGCAGGCCCCCGGGTGCAGCGCAGGGGCAGCTGGGGGGGCGAGGAGCACCCTGCAGGTCCGAGCTGCAGGTGGGCCCTGGACATTGGCTTCATCACTCTGTATGTGCTCCTGCGTAGGAGGTTCTATGTTTTCTAACAAAAATGACTTAAAAAGAAAAAGTGCTTGAATCGTCCTTAAAAATGAAATATCAGTTCAGACTTCTGCAGTGAGGAAGGTGGTGGCCACTGACCACGGGGCCCAGAATCCCAGTCGCCCGAGCTCAGGGGCACATCTGCCCATCCAGCTCCGTGGCCAGCAGCAGAGGGGCTGGGTGACACCGAACAATCATGGCACATACCATCAGCCGTTGCGGGTGTGAGCGGGAGGTACTCGGCCGATGTGGGGCTACTCAAGGACACGCGGGCTCCCGAGAGGTCGATCTTGGTGCTGCGGCAGGTGTTGGAACAGACCTTGTCGTGCTGGTAGAAGTCCAGCTCCCCGGAGTCCATGATCTTCCTGTGCAGGAGACAAGCTCCCCATGTGTGCCCGCGCCATGGCCAGGCCATCTGCGCAAATGAATGGACCCAAACATATCGCTCAACCCCCCACTAGGGCGACCTCAGGTCCCAGGAGGTGTAACCCAGGCTACATCGGGAGGCCAAAGGAGGCTCCCTAACAGGCCTGTCCAATTGCTTAGCACAAAGCTCCGGGTCCATGAGTGAACTCACTGCAGCCGGGCATGTGGCCCTGCCCAGTGCTGGTTCCCTGGGGGAACAGTGAGGCGCAGGAGAGCAGGCCAACAGTGCATAAAGGTGCTTTCGGTGGCACAGCTGCAGGTAGGCGAGTAAGAACCTGCCAGGAGGAGCCTCATGCCTCTGAGTTGCCGCTGTAAAGTCGAGCTGAGTGTCAGATGCTCCACAGGGCCTCCTGCCTCACTTTCTGTGGGCACCATGTTTGCACCGGCCTTCCTTCCGTGAAATGGGCCATGGCCTTCCCACAGCTCTGACACCCAAACACTTTATAGAAAACCAGGGACACCTGGATGGGCTTAGGGAGAACTGTGAGCACCATGGGCCTGCCTGCTCGAGGGAAGGAGACATGACGGCCACTGGGTCCCTGGCCTTGAATATCTGCCTCTCTAAGGCCAGACTGCAGTTCACAAGGAGTGACCAGGGCCACGGTCAGGGCTCCACGTGAGGGCCACAGGCGCTCCTACAGCACCGTGTGTGGCCAAGGACAGCAAGAACCATCCTCTGGGGAACAGGCATGGAGGACAGAAGTCCCACCAGCAGCAAAGTAACCCAATCTAGCTACGCCAGACACGGAGAGACTCATCTCTGGACGGACATGCTGCGGGGCCGGGGCTCAGAGGTAGAGAGCAGGAGCAGACCAGCAGGGATGCTCCTCCCAATCAGGGACAAGTTGTGACACCAAAACAGGAACTACTGATGCGTGAGAAACGGGGGGGCAATATTCCTGAGGCTGTGAATGTGAAGGCTCGAGTCAGAAGAGGTCAGAAGGCCATCTGCCACAGGCCACATCCCGGGTAACCCGTGGAGCAAACACGGGCGAGAACCCCATGCAGAAGAGCGCGCCTGTGCCAGGCTGCCGTGGCCTCAGGGTTTCAGACTGGCTGCCAGTGTGGAGAGCCGGGAGCTGCCAGGGGCTCACACTCCCAATTAGTGCCCAAGGAAAGGGAGTCTCTGAGGACAGAGGGCAGGCGCAGCCCAGCATACCCGCTCCTCATCACAGGGCAGCCATGGTCCAGACCGAGACCCTCTGCAAACTCTCAGGCACCAAGAGCCAAACAGACTGACCCGCAGCCACTAAGCAGACACAGTCTGGACAGGCAGCCCCAGAGCCAGAGGACAGTGTATACACGACTGGCCAAGGCACATGTACTCCCAGGTCTGAGGGCGCCACCCACCCTGACCTGGTACTCTGCGTGCGCAGCGGGAAGCTGCCTAAGAGATGAGCCAGCGCTGATGGGATGTCAGACGCTACCACACCACGGGGCCTCCAGGTAAGAAGCGTGGAGCTCCGGACGAGACGACAAGACCACAGGAGGCCCACCTGAGCATGATGCCGTTCATCCGGATGGCCCTCTTCCAGTCCTTCAGGGTGGACTTGCCAGCCAGATGCACAAACTCCTTAGGGCTGATGACATGTTCATCATACTGTAGAGGGAACACAGCAGAGCCGTCAGATGGCTCCTCCCACCACCCACGTCCCGTATGACTTTCCAGAGCATAGCATGGCTTAGGGAAGGGATGCAGGTTGGAGGCAGAGCATTGGTACAGAGGAGCCACTCAAATCAGCCAGTAGCAACCCTGGCTTGGAAAAAGAACAACTCAGGTGCACAGCAGGCCTGGCTTCCTGCTGTCTGCCCCCAGTGAGTGGCACTCTCTCACTCCAGATAGGACCCAGTGCATCTCACACATAAATTATTCCATAACTAACTTATACCTCTATTATGTCAAAACTAGATGCCCGGTGCACGAAATTCGTGCGTGGGGGGGTGTCCCTCAGCTCATCTGGGATCCCTCGAGGGCAATCGGACATCCCTCTCACAATCCAAGACTGCTGGCTCCCAACTGCTCACCTGCCTGCCTTCCTGATTGCCACTAACCACTTCTGCCTGCCAGCCTGATCACCCCCTAACCATCCCATGCCAGCCTGTTTGCCTCCAACTTCCCTCCTCTGCCAGCCTGGTCACCCCTAAGTGCCCTCACCTTCAGGGTTAATCGCCTCCAACTGCCCTCCCTGCAGGCCTGGTCCCTCCCAACTGCCCTCCCCTACTGGCCATCTTGTGTCCTCATGGGGGCAGGATCTTTGACCACATGGGGGCAGCCATCTTGTGTGTTGGAGTGATGGTCAGTCTGCATATTACTCTTTTATTAGATAGGATAGAGGCCTGGTATATGAGTGGGGGCCAGCTGGTTTGCCCTGAAGGGTGTCCCGGATCAGAGTGGGGGTTCCCTTGGGGCGTGGGGCAGCCTGGGCGAGGGGCCTGTGGTGGTTTGCAGGCTGGTCACGCCCCCTGGCGACCCAAGCAGAGGCCCTGGTATCTGGAATTTATTTACCTTCTACAATTGAAACTTCGTAGCCTAGAGTGAAGGCCTGAGCCAGCCAAGGCTGCAGAAGCTTGGCTTCCTCCATCGCCCGGGGCAACTCTAGCCTCCTGCTCTTCCAGCTCCTTGGCTGCCACCATTTCTGTTGGAATTTATTTACCTTCTGTAATTGAAATTTTGTAGCCTTGAGTGGAGGCCTGGGCCCACCAAGGTGTGTGGAAAGCTTGGCTTTCTCCATTGCCAGAGAAACCCAAGCCTCCATCCTGCTCTCTGTGGCCACAGCCATCTTGATTGGGATTAATTTGCATACTCACTCTGATTGGGTGGTGGGCATGGTGGAGTGATGGTTAGTTTGTGTATTACTCTTTTATTACATAGGATTTTTCTTTATCTTTTTTTTCACTTTTTTTTTTCTTTTTTAAAATTATTTTATTGATTTTTTAGAAAGAAAGAGAGAGATAGTTAGAAACATCAATCAGCTGCCTCCTGCATACCCCCCACTGGGGACAAAGGGCCTGTGGTGGTTTGCAGGCAGGCCATGCCCCCTGGTGACCCAAGCAGAGGCCCTGGTATCTGGAATTTATTTACCTTCTACAATTGAAATTTTGTAGCCTGGAGCAGAGCCAAGCCCCCTGCTCGCTCTGTGGCTGCTCAGCAGCCACTTCTGTTTGGATTTGTTTACCTTCTATAATTGAAACTTTGTAGCCTTGAGTGCAGGCCTAGGCCGGCTAGGGTAGGCAGAAAGCTTGGCTTCTTCCATTGCCTGGGAAACCCAAGCCTCTCTCCTGCTCTCTGTGGCCACAGCCATCTTAGTTGGGATTAATTTGCATACTTGCTCTGATCGGCTGGTGGGCGTGGCTGGTGGGTGTGGCTTGTTGGTGTAGCAGAAGTATGGTCAATTTGCATATTACTCTTTTATTAGATAAGATAACACAGGATACAATGTATAGGGGAGCTGTGAACACCCCCTGTGGCCGCTCCATCCCTCAGTGACACACCCGTCCATGTTGAAGCCAGGGTGTGTCCTCCTTGTGCACAGGCTCTGGGCCTAATAGACCCACCATGGCTGGAATTCATAGCCCAAGAATATAAAATATCCAATTCAGTCTTGTTAAACAAGCAAACATGGAAACCAAGAAATCAAAATAAAACTATATTTACTAGTACTTAGACAACAAGCAGCCTGGGGATAGATGGGTGGGTCAGCGGGTCTCAGCGGAGGCAGAGAAGAAAGTTCCAACTGTGGGCCGGACACCCCACTGGATCCAGTCCCCTTCACTGAGGGGCTCCCTGCTATCGGCATCAGGTCAAGCTCAGGTTACCCAGCCACCTCCTCTGTCTCCCTCAGACGTAGGTTGGTCATGGCAGTGAGACCACCATGGGGACTCCTGTCAATGGAGGTGATTTTCCCACATTCCTAAGCAGGTCCCCTTTCTCTCCCTGAGTCCAGGGAGAGTTGGCCTACTCTCCCCTGGTCGGGGGCACAGACACAGCCCATATAGGCAGAGTTCAGAGCTCTGTGGTCCCACTCAAGCCCCTGCCAGCCAGCCAGCCATGCATTTGAGCTTGTCAGACTCTTCCTAAGACATGCTGCGGATGTTGCAGCGTCTGTCACCCTGCAATTTACCACAATTTCTGCTCCTTTACTCTCCACACCTTCCTTTGCCTAAAGCTCCTGTCTGATCATCTGCCTGAATCGCTTGGCCCCTCAATCCTGAGCTGGAATCAGCAGCCTGGGAAATAATAATCTGACTTGTGTTTATTCATCTCTCTTTAGTAGCTACAGAGCTCACATGTGTTTCAGTGTTCAGTACTGGAAGCTGGGTGTTGTGTTTCTGACCAGAAGTATCTGCAGGAGCTTCACTCTTGCGTACGTCACCGAGCCCAGGAGAAGCCTGCTTCCTTCCGCTTTCTGCTTAGCGGTGAGGACTCGCTTCACATCTGCTTCCTGACAACAAGGTTCTCCACAGAACAACCACACACCAAGCTCAGGAAATTGCCACGCATGTGTGACCTCACCCAAGGCAGCAAGCAGCCTTCAACACGTGTCCCAGTGACGGCCGCTAGAGCCACTTCCTCTGCAATGCTGGCCCAGCCCAGACTGTGCTGCCTGACTGCAGTCTCTTCTGACAGCCCTTGAACTGGAGCAGCACCTGGCACCCATCCTCGCCATCTTCACAGCACGTAGGCCATTGTGCTGTAGCCTGTCCCTCAGTCCTACCCACCCCACCGCCAGCTCCCTGTGTGGGTGCTGCTGTCCCTCTGTGGTCACTGCCTCATCGGCGGTGGTGTCTGACGCAGAGCTGTCACCAACCACTCCTGGCTCCATCAACCCTGGTGCGGTAGGTTTTCTAATGCGAAAGGCTTCCTGCTCACTATCTACCTGATATAAATGACATGAAATTCTCGGCAACCACATGGCTCACAGGATCTGTTTTACTGGAGTTACAATCCAGACTGTCGCAAATCATGCTGCCATTCGCTTGTCCCGTGGAGCAGTGGGCAGTCCCTGAGCTGACACCCAGAGCTCTATTCACATAGGCTGGGACCTGAGTCTCCTGAACTAGGACACCCTCCCTCCATCCTGGACAGGCTCAGACCACTGTGCTCTCTGTGCGGCGCTCAAGGCGCTTTGGAGGCCCCTGGTCGCCCTTCTCTCTTCTGCGGCTTGCCTTCCAGATGCCTGTGTTGCTACTGCCCTCCCATGGCAAGTGGCTCTCTGTGTCTTTCCTGTGCCCTCAGCCATTCCTGCTGCCCTTGAGAGCCATTCCTCCTCTGCTCCCCTCGCACACAGACTGCTCCCTCCTGAACTACCCCCACGAGCCCACGGCCTTGGAGCAGGCGCTCACGCTCACACTCACACTCCTGGCCTCTCGCAGCTGTGCTGGAGGACCCCACCCTTGCAGCTGGCACCCGGAATCCTCACCTGCACACACTTTACGTTGATGCCGGGGCACACGAACTTCCTCCAGATCAGGTTGGCTCTGCTGTCCCCACAGGTGATGGGGTACACGATCTCGGCCTCCAGGTTCTCCCCCTCTTCAGTCATCTTCACTTCTCATGAGGTGTGAGGACAGGGAAAGGGTAAGACAGAAAGTCAGTCACAACCTTTCCAAACGCACTTCCTGCCAGAACACGTAATTACTAGCCCAGAAACCAGAAATCAGGATCCAGGAGGGGCCGGGGACACGGCAGGGTGCGCAGGGGCATCTTCTCAGTCCCAAGTTACCGTTTCAAGTTAACTCACACAATCAATTCAATGACATTAAGCAAACAGTCAACTACATTAAACGATAGTTATCTACAATAACACTAGCATAAGCACATTAAACTATGTTCACTTGAAGACATAAAATCAAACTCTACTTGGGATAATTCTAGAGAAACATATTCATCATGTACCGAGTTCTAAGGCCCTTAACGCTACATGTTATAAAGAATGTTCACTACCACTCATAATTCCAAGCAGAGCTTCCCCACAGCCACAGGTGCAGACACAGCCAGGCCACCCCGGAAGGCCCTGCGGCCTGGCTTCGCCTGGGTCCAGGCTCGGCTCTGGCCCGGAGGCCTGTCCACTTAGGAAAAACTGTCCCACCAGCTGCTGGCAGACACCTACCTAACACGGCTTCCTTGAGCTGCGAGGACGCTGTGAAGGCAGCCGCAGCGGCCGCAGCCGCGTTCTCAGTCTCCATGTTGTCCTCACTCAGGTCGCCTCTGGAAGAGGAAGAAGGGAAGACCTCAGCAAGCCCCAATGACAGTGTGCGTCTCTGCTGCTGCTCCGTGGCACTTCGGAGTTTAGTCCAGAAGTCCAATGGCCATGCAGGTCAGGGGCCCTTCACTGATGGTTACAAACTACAGCCCCCCAGCAGGTGTTCCTCCAAGTGGGCTGTTTTGCTCACAGCTGTGTCTCAGGTACCAGAAATGCTCCTGGCACATGAAACAAATTTGTGGAGACCACCAGCACTTTGTCAGGAATTCTATACCCCCATATCTTTAAAAAAAATTTTTTATTCCTGCCCTAACCGGTTTGGCTTAGTGGGTAGTGTCGGCCTGTGGACTGGAAGGTCCCAGGTTCGATTCCGGTCACAGGCATGTACCTTGGTTGCGGGCACATCCCCAGAAGGGGGTGTGCAAGAGGCAGCTGATCAATGAGTCTCTTTCATCAATGTTTCTAACTTTCTAACCCTTTCTCTTCCTCTCTATAAAAATAAATAAATAAATAAATAAATAAATAAATAAAATATATTTTAAAAATAAAATTTGTATTATAATGATTTCACATGGGTATAGAAACTATCCCAAAATATAAAATTTTAGAAAGGTCAGATCTGCAGAGACTCCATCACTGTGCACACCGAGCAGGTGTCTATCCCAGGCCTGCACCTGGGTCATGGTGGCATCTGGGGTGCACAAGGATCCTAGGAAGGTGAGGGTGTTGTGAGCAAGAGGACCAGCATCAAAGCAGCAGCAGAGAAAGCCAGGCCCCAGGAGGGAGGCCGCCCAGGAAACGGGTGCTGAGCGCACTGGCTAAGGGACCTGGGGATATGCCGCCGGCCCTGGGGCAGTCCTGAGGGAGCAGGGCAGCACCACTGGGGGTGCAGGAAGCGGGGCAGCAGATGCAAAGGCTCTCGGAGGGCAGGTTGGGGGGCGGGGCAGGAAGGGAGGGAGGGAGAACAGCAGGCTGTGGGACCATGGCAGTGCTCAGGGAATCCCTACAAGGCCCAACCACCCCTGCCCCGGATTTCTGGGTTCACTGGCACTGAGGTTCTACCCACCTGCCCATCCCACCCCCCACCACACACCCCCAGGTCAAACTTGCACCAGGGCCTGTGCCCTGCCTTTATCCTCCTGACATGGGTCCCACCTGCTCCCTCCCACAGGCCCGCACTGACTTCAGAGCTGCCCTGAGAGCGGGGGCTGCGGAGGCCCGGAAGGGCTGGGGATGCTGCCCTGCCATGCCCCCTCTCCATTTGCCCAAAACTTTGCCTCACCTCCACCAGGTCAGAAAGAGCCAACCGGAGGCGCACACTGGAATCTGTCTTGGGGGCCTATTGCAAGTGCCTCCTACATAAGGAAGAATGCTGGGTGAGGCCACACAGACGAGGGCCATGGACTCAGAGGGGCAGCTGTCCTTTCAGGCCAGAACTCTGGAAGGCAGGGATGTGGGCAGAACCGGAAAATAGGCTACTTCCACAGGAGAACCAGGGCGGTCCCAGGAGGAAGTGTCAAGATTGGGACAGGAAGCAGCATTGCAAGAGGGCCCAGCATTTAAGGAGCAGAGCCAGATCCCTGCCACAGGCCACCTACAGAAAACACCAAGACTAAAGGGTATCCAGGAGGCAGACACAGGAGCAGAAGTCTCCTGCGCATGACCCCTCTGCCCTAGGCCTCCCACACAACGTGGGAACGAATCCCCCCTCACCACTAAACATCCAATTTACTAAAGCAAATGTGAACCCAAGCTGCTGTCAGACCAAAAACACTCCTTTCAGCCCGGAAGGTGTGACTCAGTGTTGAGCATCAACCTATGAACCAGGGGGTCATGGTTTGATTCCCATCACGGCGCATGCCCAGGTTGCAGGTTCGATCCCCAGTGTGGGTGTGCAGGGGGCAGTCGATGGATGATTCTCACTCATCACTGATGTTTCTATCCCTCTCCCTTCCTCTATGAAATCAATAAAAATATATATTTTTAACAACACTATTTTCTTCTCATGTCACCATGCCAAAGCAGTGGGTGAAGGCAGCCTGGGTTGGTTGTCACACGGAAGGAACACTCCCAAGGTCTCCCCAAATATCCAGTCAGAAAAGGAATCTGTGCCCACAAAGTCATTAGCTCGCTTCCACTCCTCAACTTAATCTTAAACGTGGAGCAAGAGTAAATATCAGCTTCCCACTCGTAGAACATAAAACATTTCAGAGAAAGAGAAGAAACAGCTCCAGGGCCCTTGGCTGCCTCCTACCTCAGTGCCCACCAGGCCCTATGACTCGGGGGTACACAGCCAGACCCCATGAGGTCCTGCAGCTCCTCACCTGCTGCTGGAACCTTTCTCCATGAAGACACCAGGCAAGTGTCCCTGAGGATGAGAGCCCCCAGCAGTGTGCTGAGAGCCTCCTTCGCCAGCGCCCCAGACACTGACGGGAGTGCACGCCAGACCACCCAGCAGGACCAGGTGCACAGGCCCAGCCAGAGTGCCGGGCTGGCCAGCCCATCCCCCTAGCAAGTGGCAAACACAAGTTCAATGCACTCAGTTATGCAGCAATGTCAGTGACACAGAAACTACCCGGAAGTGGTGCTGCCACCACATTCTGGGAAGACAGAGCAATGGGGCAGCCAGAGCAGGAACAGCAGGCTACACAGGGGCTGTGCCAGGCAGTGGAGGAACCACTGGCAACAATGTAGCCACAGTCCCTGAAAAGAGTGAAACTCCAAAAGGACTGTGGTGGGAAAGGAACATGCACACAGCTCTGGGGAGTGCAGATGCTGATGCAAGAGGGAGCTGCCCACCCTGTGGTTGCAGAGAGGACAGGGAACACCTGGTCACATGATTTTGTCTCCTACTTCCCACCTGGCAAAGATTTTCAAAGTAAGAAATGGCCTCAGGATAAAGATCAAATTAGGATGTGGCTGGACAATCCCAGGTGTTCAAGCCAGGCCTGGCCAGACTCCTATGAGTCCCCAGGGCATGGTTTCCAACCAGTGGGGGAGTGGGGGGGGGGGGGGGCCCTCAAACACCCCTGGAACCAAGATGCAGCACAAAACCAAACCAGAAAAGCGAAGCACAGTGAATGGATCTCATCTGTGCACCTGCAGGCTCAGGCCCAGCTGGGACAGGAACTGAGGGAACCCAGGCAACCTGTACAAGGAGACCTTCTGTCCCAGCCCCGCTCCCAGATAGCAGGCGTCTGCCGCTGGGGCAGGTAGGGGGCATGCTGTGGTGGACTGAACTGTGTCCCCAAATTCACGTCGGAGCCTAATCCAGTGACTGCATCTGCAGATTTGGTCTTCAGCAGGAAAATAAGGTCAAATGAGGTCAGAAGACAGGCCCCAATCTGAGAGGACTGTAGTGCTCAAACCAGAGGAAGAGACCGTCTCTATTAGGTGAGGCCACACGAGCCAGACACCAACCCTGCAGACCTGGATCTTGGACTTGTGGCCCTGGAAAACCAAGTTTGCCGTTTCCCCAGGGGAGCCACCCCGTCCACAGTATTGTTATGGCAGCCAAGCTCATTAGGACACGTCTTCTGGGCACGCTGGCGAGGCTGACGAGAGCTCAGTGAGTCACCCACATGCTGGGCACAGCTGGGAAGCGCCAGTGTGGGGCTGGACAATCGCACATGGTGCGAAGACTGGGCTCCGTCGGACCAAAGCATCCCATGAGGTGCCCATGGTAAGGGGTCCTCCCAGCACCCAGCACACCAGGAGGAGGCAGCGTGGTCTCTCCCACCCAAGGTCACTTCTGCCCACTGTGTTCATCAAGAGCCATCTCCAATCCATGGGAAGGGGCATGGCAGGTCCCTGCAGAGCAAGTGTGAGGAGACACCAGGGAAGCCCACCCATAGCAGCACTCCGACAAGCTACCAGAGATTCAGGGGGGAAACCCACAGCGTCAGTCACACGCACCATCCGTGCAACTAGAACTCAGCAAAGAGCTGGCTGCCTCGCTGTGTGTACAGGGATGGAGAACGAGCCCAGCCCTGAGGAGCGTGAGGCAGGCGCGAGGGAGGCCAGCACCCTGCACAGCAGCTGCACAGACTGCAAAGTGGCAACAACTCAGTATCCTGTGTGCACTACAGGCACTGCGCCTAGGCTGGGCCCTGGTCTAAAACCTTCCTCCAAACATCCTGTTAGACAGAGGCAAGGCCAAAGCTTGCCCTTGTGGTCAGTGACATGCTGAGGTCAGTCTGAACGGGGCACACTCAGGACACGCAAAGATGACCCACAGGGAGCCGGCCTACTCCAGCCCCTCGTAGGCAACAGGTGGGGCTTGGCCAAAGGAAGCCAGCATTCAGCTCACATGCCAGCTTCTTTGCCAAGTAGTATTCCATGTGGACATCTATTGTAAGAGGTGGGGAAGAAAACGCTGTTACCCTGAGGAATATCAGGAAACTACTGGCTCTTCATTTTGAAACACAGTTCCCAATTGTCCATCTTATCGAGAGGAACTCCAGGTGTTTTCAGAAATAGGCCATATGACCATGGTGATGCAGGATCCAGGGCAAGGATGAAGCATTATCACTGTCCGGGCTAATGTGACGTCCCCATTTGTCCTGCACACCCTGCACTGACACAGACTCCAATCTGGATCAGAGCTACTATGACAAAGGGGCACTCCACTGTGCCAGATGCCACCATCCCACGCCCGCAGGCACAGGCCTGTCCTTACCCGTGGGCAGCCAGGTTGGTTGTCACCAGCACTGTCTTGACCTCCTCCATGCCACTGCCATCCACCGCAGTGTCGGGTGTCGTCACCACCACCACCTCCTCCATGTGCACACTGACATCCGGGGTCGCCATGGCTCCGCTGAAGAGGACACCCAGGCTGAGACGTCACCTGCCAGGACCCCAAGTCCTAGAGGAAACAACAGGCAGGGCACAGGGTCACAGAAGGGCCACATGTCTGCGCAATACAGCTCACTGTTGCTGACGAGTCACTCTCAATCCCAGCACACACTTTCTGACACAATGACAACAGGCTGCCATCTGGAGAGGATGGCCTAGCACAACTGCCTGTCCTGCCTGCCTGAGCAGAGCGATTGAACAGGCAGGCACCTGGGCCTGATGACACAGTCACAGCAGGTGTGAGAGAGGAGGCCCGATCCCAGCAGATTCCCAGCAGGTGAGTCTCTGGCTGTTACCTATCCCGCCACCATGTCCTGGCCACAGCCCAGAGCTCTGCCTAGAAAGCAGTTACAAACAGGTTCTAGGCTGGGGAAACGAAGGGAAACCTACACAACTACCTGCAAAAGAGCCTGGAAGTTTCCTATAAAATAGGCGTGCTCCTCCTCCCACAAGACCAGCAATCCCACCTACAGACACAACGGCCAAAATAACTGTTAGTCAGGTAGGACTAACACAGATCCACAAACCCAGCTTGTGACAACAGGACTCACACAGACATAGGGAGGGGACCAGCCTACACGCCCATCAACAGCTGTCCTCACCCAAATTTCAAAAACAGAGCACTAAGTGATGTGAACAACAAAAGTTACTGCACAGAGAACTGCTCGAGTTTAGACACCATCTTCCTCTTCCCTCGAGGAGCCAAAGCCCATGCCCAGTTCTTGGCACCAAGCTTGGGTTCCACTAGTGAAAACTGAGCACCAACAAATTTAGAGGTAAGATATAAAGAAGTATTTTTGAAATAGCATTCTTGGGGCCCTAACCAGTTTGGCTCAGCCTGCAAACTGAAAGGTCCCAGGTTCGATTCCGGTCAGCGGCATGTATCTTGGTGTGGACACATCCCTGGTGTGGGGCGTGCAGGAGGCAGCTGATCGATGTTTCTCTCTCATGGATGTTTCTCACTCTCTATTCCTCTCCCTTCCTCTCTGTAAAAAATTAATAAAAAAAATTTTTTTTAAAGAAAAGAAATAGCATTCTTGGGCATAAGTCCTATCTAGTCTAATAAAAGGATAATATACAAATTAACCATCACTCTGCTACAGCCACGAGCCATGCCCACTAGCCACGCCTGCCAGCCAACCAGGAGCGAGTATGCAAATTAACCTAACCAGGATGGCTGCAGCCATGGAGAGAGCAGGAGGTGGGTTTGGGTTTCCCCGGCGATGGAGAAAGCCAAGCTTTCCGCACACCCTGGCAGGCCCAGGCCTCTGCTTAAGGCTACAAAGTTTCAATTATAAAAGATAAATCCCAACAAAAACAGCACAGCCAAGGAGCTGGAGAGAGCAGGCTAGGGTTTCCCCCAGCGATGGAGGAAGCCAAGCTTTCCATCTGCCCTGGCCAGCCTAGGCCTCCACTCCAGGCGACAAAGTTTCAATTATAGAAGATTCATAACACCAAACAGAAAGGGCAGCAGCCACGGAGCAAGCAGGGGGTTTGGCTCCGCTCCAGGCTACAAAGTTTCAATTGTAGAAGGTAAATAAATTTCAGATACCAGAGCCTCTGCTTAGGTTGCCAAGGGGCGTAGCCAGCCTGCAAACCACCACAGGCCCCTCGCCCAGGCCACCCCACACCCCAAGGGAAACCCCACTCTGATCTGGGACACCATTCAGGGCAAACCAGCTGGCCCCCACCCATGCACCAGGCCTCTATCCCATCTAATAAAAGAGTAATGTGCAGACTGACCATCACTCCAACACACAAGGTGCCTGCCTCCACGTGGTCAAAGATCTTGCCCCTATGTGGACACAAGATAGCCAGCACAAGATGGCCAGCAGGGGAGGGCAGTTGGGAAGGATCAGGTCTGCAAGGGAGGCGATCAACCCTGCAGGTGAGGGCAGTTAGGGGTGGCTAAGCCGATAGAGGAGGGAAGTTGGAGGCAAATAGGCTGGCAGGGGAGCAGTTAGACATCAATCAGGCTGGCATGGGAGTGGTTAGGGGGTGATCAGGCTGGCAGGCAGAAGTGGTTAGGGGCAATCAGGAAAGCAGGCAGGCAGGCAAGCAGTTGGGAGCCAGCAATCCTGGATTGTGAGAGGGATTGGGTTTAAATGGGCAGTTTAGCATCCCAGTTGGATAGGGTGCAGGGCTGGGCTGAGGGGCACTAATTTCGTGCACCGAGCCTCTAGTATATATATAAAAGCCTAAGCGCCTGACAGAACAACTGGTTGACAGGTCGCTATGATGTGCACTGACCACTAGGGGCAGATGTTCAATGCAGGAACTGCCTCCTGGTGGTCAGTGCACTTCCATAGTGGGAGCACCACTCAGCTGACCGATGGGCACTAGATGCCGGGCTCACAGCTGGCAAGCACAACTGCAGTGGTGTGAGCCTCTCCCTCTCTGGCGCTATTAGGGCTGAAGCAGCTGAAGCAGCTGAAGCAGCGGCAGAAGTGGCAGGCGCAGCAGAGCCGGGATGAGTGGGAGTGGCACAGCACCTGGCCTGGGCTCAGGCTCCTCCCTGGCCCTGTCGCTTGGCACACATCTCCCAAGGGGTCGTGGACTGCCAGAGAGCACAGGCAAGGCTAAGGGACCCCAGCAGTGCATGGATCCGTGTAAAAATGAGACAAAAATGCTAGTTCCTAAGATTAAGATCTGGTTTCCCGTGTATTCTACAAAATTACAAACATTTGAGAAAGGGGGTCTACACGAAGGAATCTTACCTCAAACCCTAACTGGTCATGCCGCAGGCCTATCACTCCTTTAGTAAAATGTCTGCCTTGAGCCAGCCCTGTCCATTGTTTCTGTGCATCTAGGTTCTCACACCTTTGAGTTGCCCCCTTGCAGATTCCTCCCTTTAAAGCTTGCTCACATTATCTTGACTCTCCTGTAATCCATCCAGGCCTGGCTTTCTCCCTTCCTTCCATTCCCGCCTTAATTCCAAATGCACAAAAGCTGCAGACTGTGTCTGAGCAGCATTTTTCCGTCAAGATCTTGCTTCCAAGCATTTCCTCTATTTGATTCTGAAAAATTATTATAAAAATCCTCTGCAGGTCTGGCAGCTCGTACGTGGGCACTTTCATGAAAACAGCACTAGAGATATGGCAGAGGTCACACCAGGAACAGCAGTTTCTTTGATCCTTTAAGTGTTCCAAATTTTTAATTAGTTGCCAAGTTTTTCAAAGTTTACAAAGTTCACATTTTAAAATTTTAATTTTCAGCTTCTCTTGGAAAATGTTGGAGTCTCTGGAGGTGGTCCCTCTAGTTCTGCCTTTCCCAGAGAATCTGGGCTTCTAGTTCAGTCGGGTGGGCACAGATGAACCAGCTCGGTCTCAACCACACTCTGCCACACCCAGCCAGGATCTCACCCAGCCAAGCCCCCATTCATAAGCATTTGTGGCTCTGAAAAAACATTTGAGCAGCCACCCTACCAAGTTCAGACATGAAACGCTTATTATTTTAAAGACTAGGTTTGAATATCTATACATATAAAAAGTCAGCCACCATAACACCGAAACAACCAGAATGACCAGGTGCTATGACACCCACTGTGGCCAGCGAACCAGCCAGTCAGGGGATGGGGCCAGCCAGCCAACCTCCCACGGCCCCTCCCCCCGGCCAGCCTGCCCCTAATCACTCTCACACCCAGATCAAGGGCCAGGCCAGCAGGCCAAACACCCTTGCACCCCCACCCCTGATAGCAACCCCAACCCCAATCGGGGGC